TCGGCATTTCTGAAATGCATATTACCTTTAGAATCTCTGCATCATTCAAGTCAAGGGTTTTCAACTTTGATATAGGCATTGTTTGGATGGTTGCAAAATAACATCATTAATAACAAACCTTGAGATCAAACTATTTAGAAGTTTCTGTTTCTTTAGCAACAGGACTGTAATCATTGGCTGTTCTGTTTCTAATGCAGATGTAAAGCCTTTAAAATCATAAACATTAAAAATATACACTTTAGTGCATCCTTGATATGAATATACCTTTCATTTGTTGCAATATCTGCTTTATCATTGAATTGTTTTTGATTTGGTAGATCTTAAAAAAGTATTCCCACAAGTTGTCAAACTCCATTATTCTCACTAATGTCTTGCTTATCCAACAAGTAGAGACATATTTCAATGCGAATTGTCCTTGTAGCTCAGTGAATGATTACTCCACAACAAAATATTTTTCAATACTTTTTGCAGAAAATTAAAAAAAACTGTGCAAATCAAATGCTTATTGTTCCAAATCAAAGAAATCAATACTTTTCAAACCAGCCAAAAAAGCTTGGAAACGGTATGAAAATGATATGAACATAATGATAAATAATAAATTGTATGACCATAATGATAAATAATAAATTATTTTTTTTCACAATCATTTTCCAACTTTTTTAAAAACAATTTATTGAAATTGGTACCACTCCTACTAATGGAAAGAATTGACTCTTGTTGCAGCTGAATTTTCCCTAACAACTTTTTAAAATGAACAAGGTCTTCAACAGTACACCATCTAACAAACTATGTCCATAAGCACTGTAAGTGCTGTAAATCATTTAAATGGTATGTGGTATAACTCTTATATTGTTTTTTTTGTTTGTAATGCAGTTGTTTCATCAAATCAGAATATGAAAAATAAACATTTTAACTTATTTCAAAAAACGTTTTGAATACAAGGCCTTATTCTGTAATGCCGTTTTTTCATCAAATCAGAATGTGAAAGATAAACAGTTCAACTCATTTTAAATAACTTTTTCAATAAAAGGAGCTATTTTTATCTGAATCATATACTCCAGATTATCCAATTTTTTGGCTTTAACAATTTTAGAATCCAGAAATATAAGTTTGTATTTAGCATTTTTTGTGAATAGCTTTGACTTAAACAACCATAAACTTGTCACAAATTTATAATGTGATCTAGCTGATTTTGTATTTTCTTCATATTTCTTTGACTTCAAATGAAGATGGCTTACACCAAACATTTCAGCTGGGTTACACCAGCTGAATGTTTATGCCTGCAAAATAAATACAAAACCCATATTTAATAGACTTATTAGAAGCTTTTATCAATGGATTTCTCTTTTTCCAGGATGATTTAAAATTAGACTTTCCCATACTGAAAAATTTGCATTAAATAAATACAACTAAAAAAAATACTAATAATAATAATAACTTGTACCCCTGCCTGCCTAAAATGTTTATATTAGCATAGCAGAGTTTAGAGAATCTAAGTTTAACCAACATATTTGAAACTTTTATATTGAAAAAGCTTTCCAATGATGATTCTGTAGAGCCGGTTTCATATTGGGCAGAAAAGGCTCTTTAGCTATGGTGAAGCTAACATACCTATCATAAGGAAAACTTTGAGATACCCCCCCCCCCCCCCCGCATCTTTTTCCTCCAATAAAACTGCAGTACCGGTAGTAGGAACTTAAATGAGTTTCCACTCATCCGTTTTTCTACGGGAACGTGATAGGAAAGGAAAAAATAATTACGTGAGCATGCGTAATAAAAGAATTTATTTGTCTGAAAGAAAACTGCGCATGCTCACGTGATTATTTTTGCATTTCCTTTCACTTTCCCGTAGAAAAACGGATGAGTGGAAACTCACCTTTATAAACCTTGGATGGTAACCTTGACAGTTGTAGTATCACATAAAAATACCAAGTCCAGATCTGCAAAACAGGCTACACTATAAACAATATCCGTTTTAAAAAATTGCTTTGACTATTTTGAATAATTTAATTTAGAAAACTGTTATATGGAAACCAATCCAACCCACACAAGTGTGAAAACATAGATTTTATATTTTAAAAATAAACTATTATTTTTTCATAACTCTTCCATAGTTCATACTTATCACTATGTTTAGCATAACACACTAAATAAAATAAAAATAAATTTTTTAAATTGAATCCAGTTATTGTCTTTTAGAAGACCTCATCCAGTTACATTCAATTACATCCACCTACTGTCTTGTAGAAGACTTCATCCAGTTACATCCAATTACATCCACCTATTGTCTTTTTGTGATTTTCTTTGTGACTATTCTTGGCAATATCTTTTTCTCTCAGTCCTTGCTAAGATCTTTCTCTCTCTGCTGAAAAATATGCCTCCTACATAACCTCCTGGATTCAGGCAAGAATTTAAGCTTTTATTTCTTCTTGTCGGTTCCAAATCAACTCTCATTCTAATCCATGGTTTTCACTTTCTTGTACAGCTGCTATAACTAATTGTAAACTTTTTTTTCATCTTTTTTAAGAGAACAACTCTCTTGAGAACAAACTGGCATTTATTATTGCAAGAAATTGATCTAAATGGTTGTGTGATGCTAACATCCATTATTCTCAGTTCATTAAATCTTGCATCTTATCTCAGAAGTTAGGCTCTAAAGACTTTTGGAAAATCTTTAACAGCATCATTACCAAGGGTAGGTCTAACACTCCATATCTTATTACTCCATATCATATTACCTCTCTCAAGGATAAGGAAGAACCATTTGCAAAGAACTTTTCTTCAAATTCGACTTTTGAATCTTATGGCAATTCTCTTCCTTTCATTCCAATTAAACAGCTTAAACCATTGTTAGACATTCAAATCACTCCAGCTTCTGTTGCTAAAGTCATATCTCAATTAAACTCTTCTAGCTTGTGGCTCAGTCTTACAAAATTGTTATTCTGAACTCTCTTATATTCTCTCTAAAGAATTTAATAAGTGCTTGGCTTAGCCTTGTTTTCCTGCCTGCTGGAAAATAATATCTGTTGTTTTAATCTTCAAAAATTCTAGTGAACAATCTGACCCTTCAAATTACTGTCCAATCAGTCTTCTTTCTGTTATTAGCAAGGTCTTTGAGTCTTTGATCAACAAATTTCTCACATCCCATCTTGAAAATAAATAACTTACTGTCAAACAATCAATACAGTTTTTAATACATTCACTCTACAACTAACAGCTAACTGCTGTGACTGAAAGATTTTATTGTGCATTAGATGGAGGTGGAAAGGCTAGGGTTATTGCTCTTGACATATTTAAGGCTTTAGACAAAGATAGCATGCTGGTCTTCTATATAAGCTTGTTTCATATGGTGTATCTGGGAAAGTTTTTGAGATTATCAAAACATTTCTTTCTAACTGATTTATTAAAGTCATCCTCAAACGCCAACACTCTTCTTAATACCTTGTAAATTCTGGGGTACCTCAAGGTTCTATCCTTGGTCCTGTTTTTTTTTCTTATTTACATTAATGATCTTCCTGAAAACCTTACATCTAAAGTAGCTCTTTTTGCTGATGAATCCTGCCTTGACAAAAAAGTCTTCTCTTTTTGACTGCTTAGAACAGGCAGCTGATCTTAAATCTGATATCATTTATGTAACAGATTGGGGCTCACAGTGGCTTGTAAATTTTAACTCCAACAAAACTCAGTTATTTACTGCAAATATTGCAAGACTATCGCCATTTCTATATTAATGAATGGCAACCCTCACACTGAGTCTTCTTCTTTACCTCTTCTTGGATTATTGTTTACTACTGACCTTTCATTGAAACCATGTACACAATCAATTAGTAAATATGCTAAGGTTGCTTCTCTTATCACGCTTGCAATTTTCTCTCTTCTGATTCCATTCTTATCTCTACAAATATCTTATTTATCCCTGGAATACTGTTGTCATATATGGGCTGGTTCTTCTAATAATTCTTTTTCTCTTCTTTACAAGGTCCAAAAACACATTGTAAACCTAGTTGAACCCTTTTTATCTACTAAACTTGAGCCTTATTCCTATCATCGTAAAGTTGCATCTCTTTCTCTTTTTTTCAAATACTATCATGGCCGCTGCTCAAAGGAGCTATTATCTCTAGTTCCATCAACTAAAACTTATTTTCGCTTGACTTTTACTGTATCTGTCTTCATCTTTTACTGTCTCATTCTTTTATTGTATCTGTCCCTGCATGCTCTGAAAACTTTTATTTGTCTAGTTTTTCCCTTGAACTTCAACCCTTTAGAACTCTCTCCCATCTTCATGTTTTCATACATGAAAATGGGAGTGAGTTTTCATAAAACTTTTGAATTTTTAAGCCTTCTGTCAACCGATTCCTTCTTATATGCCAACCGATTCCTTCTTATATGTCAACCGATTCCTTCTTATATGTCAACCGATTCCTTCCTAACTCTATTCTTTTCTTCTAGTAACTCTCTACTTAATAATAGTTACTTGCAGCCTTGTTGGATCAAAATTGATTTTTTTTTTTTGAAATTGCTTTATTTATTAGTTAGCAATTGTAATTTAAATAATTGTAGTTTAAATAGTTTGTAAAAATAATTTCTTTATAGGTAAAAGAACAAAAATTATAAACATGACTATATTGTTATACCAAGTGTAAAGTTATTAGAAAGATAAATTGTTAACAAAGTCAAAACAGAGCTGTCCGCTTTATATTGAATAAATCAGAAGCAGTATTTATTTGTTACTTGTTTTATTTGATTACTTTGAATCTTTATTCATACATTCATACTATTTATTACTACTATTTATTTGTTATTGAAAATCGATTTTTAGGAAGATTTTTATCTATTTATCAATATATGCAATCTAAACTTTAATTTTAAATTTAGGACCATTGCTATTTGATGTCACATAATTTAGAAACAGTGTATATATATACATATGAAAAAGTGAACTAAAGAACTTAATTACCTTGGCTGTAACATTTAAAGTGAGCTCTTGAGCCTTAAAAAAAAAAACTTTCAATTTTATAGCAATTATTTTCAAAAATGAAAAAAAAAAAAAAATGAAAAATACAAATAAACTTCTTTTTTAAATACAATGGTTTCAAAAAAAAATTCTTTTTTTAAAGCTAATTTTAAGTACAATATATTAACAAGATATCAACTAAGGTTTATTTTACTTTTAGAAAAAAATTATTCTAAGAAAATACTATGCCAAGTTGTCATAGTATGACAATACGTTTTAGTATGATACTAAAACATATATTAGTATTTTAAAATGTCATTGAACACAATAATAAATCAAACTTCAAAAAAAAGTCACTACAACTCAAACCTTAAAAAAGGTTTGAGTTGTAAAGGCTGCTGAGGGGAGAAACAAGTTGATACAAGTTAAACAAATAATACCAACAATTATTTTAAACAATTCTTATATTTTTTTTTATATATTTTTTTTTTTGCATTACTTTCTGGTACGCTGTTTCTGTAATTATGAGAAACTCAATCATACCTATTTTTTGTAACCACTGTATAAACTCATAACATATCAAACTTTACATTTTAATATTAAACACATTTATTAAAAAATATGCCCTGATTGACAAGCATTAGAAAATCTAAAACATACTGATCATGCTGTTCACTATGCTAAAAACATCTCATTTTACATACCGGATTTGTTGATAGCATTCGCACATTTATTAGAGCAATCAGCTTGCTCTCGATGAACCGAATGATTGATGAAGTCATTGTTAATGTTTGTGTCATAGTCATTCCTCGGTGCACAGTCAGTTAAGTTAAATGCAGCATAAAGTAGCTTTAAAAAATGACTTAAAATTGTTACTTATTTTTAGAACTTAATTTATATTTTGTTTTCTATAAGCTATTCATAAAAAAGGCATATTTCAGATAATACCTTATGTGATGCAGGCTTAATATAATTTTCATTGACTTTTGAGCCAAGTTTGATAGCCTATAACAAAATTTTTTATTGTTTAAAAGAAACAATTTAAATTTTGGTTGTTGTTAAAAATTTTATCAAAAAAATTAAAAACTTTCTTTCAAAATTTAAAAAAAATTCTATCGAAAATTTTATCAAAAAAATAATTTATTAACTTGTTTTTTTTTTTAAATGGTTTTAAACAAACAAAAAAAATTCTAAACAATTTTAGTAATTATTAGATATATATTTGAAATCTCAGTGCTAGATTGTTAAAATGTTAGATTGTTAAAATGTTAGATTGTTAAAATGTTAGATTGTTAAAATGTTAAAATGTTAAGTTGTTAAAATGTTAGATTGTTAAAATTTAATTGTTATTAGTAATAATGTAAACAATAAGAAAAATACCTTTGCTGACGCAACAGAAGCCATCTGTTGTGCAGTGACAGTAAATGAACTCAAACCCTATAAACCATTTTTAAAACAATAAGAATTAACAGCTTTATAACAGCTCAACTATTTACTTTATAAAATTTACTTATAAAATTGTTTTAATTTATATAGATATTGTATATTATATTATTACTAAATATTTCTTACATTTTATGTAGAGTATTACATTTTTTACATGTTAATTACTTATAATTATTTTGCAGTGCATGAAGTTGCTAATTATCAATGTCCATTCAAACTGCCAGATCAAATAACTAAGAGGGGCATCCAAGCATCATTCATTTTTTCTAAAATAATAATCAATAGCTGGTTGCCCTTCTCAGTCAAGATAGGCCAAAGGAGCTTGGCGATATTTTATGCACTGGATTTAGTAAAAAAAAATAACTTACAGATTGCAATGTTGCCAAAGTAGCATCCCAACCTAATTTATATAAATTAATTATTTTATACTTTATAGCAGTATATTCAGTTACATGCAACAGATAAAAAAAATTAACCTGCTTCAGATTTAGAAGATGGTGCTGGACTACTTCCAAATCCAATGTATTTTCCTCCTTGACTTGGAGGCAAATTCCTGAAAAATAAAATGGAACACTAAAATTTAAATAACTTCTTGTGTAGCATTTTATTTTGTGTAGCCATTTTCTATTTAGCACTATACACAGTTTACATTTCTACACCTTTTAAAAAAGGGTATCTCTACATACTCTGATTTGGAGTCGTTTTCTTGTTGTTTTTTCTTAAAGTAATCATCTTTGTCTTTAGATATTTCTGCTCTAAATAAATGAAATGCTATTATTTCGGTTAGTTTAGCAAAGTATATTTTACAAACCTATGTAAAAGGAAAAATGTTTGATAAAAACCATGCAGTTCAGATATTCATTTATTCTGATACTCATTTAAAAAAACTTAAGTTCAAAACCTAATAAATTTCAAAATGCTAACTCCTCATACTACTGTATTGTTATAAATTTTTGAAATGACTATCCCAACAATTTGTTTAAAAAATTTGTTTACAAAAAAGTCCAACTAAAAACTATTTTTTTTTATACTTAAACTAAAAAGACCTAACCAATTGTAAACTTTATTATATTTTTCAATATGTTATGATATAGCATGATGGTTTTTATAGAGCATACGATAACATGTAATAAAAAAAATTAAGACTTTCAGAAGTTTTTTTTTTAAACTTTTTTTATACACAATGTATTTATCTCTCTTAACCATCTAAGTTCAAAATACAGACTCTTCATGAAGAAAATTATGTTTGGTATAAAACCATAACACATGCAATACACCAAGAATATGGTGTGGTTTGAACATAAAAAATCTCACAAATAAGTTGAAGTTATCATTTTAATATATTTAATTTTTGTTTTGTTTTTGTAAACATTACCTTGAAACAAATTGTCATATAAGAAAGAAATTTTTTTGAATTTATAAAAATTTTATGTTACTTCTTGAAAAGATCTAAAACAGTCAAAGATAAGTGCTTAGTTTTCCAAAGTTAATTTTAAATCAATAATTTTCCATAAAATGGATTTCAAACTGCATCATTTTTATTTTATGTCAAACTTTCATTAAAATAAACATATCTAACTTTGATTTTCCGAGGAATGTTTCTAAATCATCCATACTGCTTATAGTTGGAGCTGATTTACTTCCTAGCGAATTGCTGCCTTTTAATAAACCATTGTTAGTTGGAGCACTAGGTGGCTTATAGTTTCGAGCATTGGATGTTGCCTCAGACCATGTATTTCCTTCTGCTTCTGTTATTATCTAAATAATACTATTAACTATAGTATATACTAACTTTTTTTTTCATAACATTTGTAATATGAAAATATAAACTAGTATATATATATATATATATATATATATATATATATATATATATATATATATATATATATATATATATATATATATATATATATATATATATATATATATATATATATATATATATATATATATATGTAGACCACATGGATAAAACAACAGTCACATTTTACTTATTTCGAGAAAAATGAAATTCAGTGTTTAGTGACATTAGATATCTGTTTAATAATTATTTATTTAATTAAAAGTATGTTTTTCTGACATTTTAGTCCTTATACAATATAAAAACGCAGTTTTTGTGCTAAATACAAGCATTATTTATTTACAGTGTTCGTTTGAAAACAAGACACTTATTTTGGACATCAGTGGTTTTTCCGTTGTAAACTCATCAACTCATAAATTACATTAGCTTGTAACCTTTTAGAGCACTTATTTTTTTAAAGGATGGTGGTAGCACATTGTAATATACAACTACAATGTACTAAGTGATTGATGGGATAATAAAGCCACCCCCTCCCTCTTTTAATAAAATCAAACAAAATATTGTATGAAAGTTTTTTTTATCTTTATACAAATTAACATTGCAACATTATCTCTTCCCCAACCTCGTCTATTTACCACAGACGATTTCTTGATGTCTGTGTTCCATCACTTTATATCAAGTTTGTATAAACTATACAAAACCTATTGTGAACACAACGTTAATAAAAATGTTTTGTTTTTAATTTCAAAGAAATTATTTTGTTTAGCTTTAGTAAGTAAATTACTTACTAAAGCTAAACAAAAAATGCTTAGCTTTAGTAAGGAAATTTTTAACAAAAAAAGGCAACAGAGTTATGTATGCTTGTTTCAATTTATCAGGCAAATCGATCATTGATCTAAACATATGGGATGTAACACACATAAAATTAAATATATCCATTTTACCATATAATTAAACTTTAACTTTTAATACTTCATAACCTTTAATATTTCAATTTCTCTAAGTGAACATGTCTTAAATGAACAAACAACCAAAAATTTTGGCTTTAAAACTTTTTTTTTTTCTTGCATCATGTTTATATACAATATTGAATTTTTATGGTTTTTTGTGAGATCGCCTAGTGTTTCTGCAAGAAACCTTTGATTTGCATTGGCTAATGTTTCTGTCTTATTTGTTAGAGGTGTAATGCCTATACATAATGTGACAGAGTTCTAATTGGTAATGAAACAGTAATGCTGTCAGGTTTTCTAGTTTTATAAACTAGATAATAAAATCAAATTAATACTTTTCATTTTGTATTTTTCTTAGCACATAAATTGCAAATCAATTTATATCCTTTACACTTGAGATAATTGATCATTTAAAATTATGCAGCATAGAACATACAACATCAGACCATCTGTTTCCAACCGTTTCATCATAGCAATAAAAATATAATTTTTGAATTAAAGTTATATTAGTGTTAAAAAAAATAAAACAGCTATTGCCTGGAATAGTATACATTGGCTTTAGACATTTAGGCATTTTTTTTTGAAATCTTTGAAAACTAGTTCATAATTAAAAATATCAGAATCAGAATATTATTCCATTTTCTATTTTTTTAGGATACAAAAGGTACACCTTATGAATTAAAAAAAGTTTATATATATATGTATATATATATATATATGTATATATATATATATATATATATATATATATATATATATATATATATATATATATATATATATATATATATATATATATATATATATATATATATGCTTATCAAAACACGCTTTAGTAAGTATATATATATATATATATATATATATATATATATATATATATATATATATATATATATATATATATATATATATATATATATATATATGTATATATATATATATACATACATACATACATACATATATATATATATATATATATATATATATATATATATATATATATATATATATATATATATATATATATATATATATATATATATATATATATATATATATATATATATATGTATGTATATATATATATATATATATATAATGTTTTTTTTTAAATGTTATTCTGTGAAAGTAATGTTGTTTACCTCACCCGAAAAGTTAGTCATGTGACTTACGCTTTTATTATCATTGGTTTAGTTATAAATAACTTGGACAACTGTGTTTTTTTACGCGGTAAACAGTGGTTGTTTCAAAGTTGCCCTTTTTTTTAAATGACCATAAAACCTTAAAACATAGTTTTTTTGTTATGAATTTTTAAATTAAAATAGCTTAGTACTAAAATATCATAAAAATATATAAAACTTGAAATTTTCAAAAAGTTGACATCTGTGGGTTTTACCCGTGTGGTCTTCATATATATATACAATACTCTATATAAGTAACTCATTTGAACCAATTTCAATAAAAGTTTCTTAATGGGAAAAGTTGCTTAAAGGGAAAAAAGGAATATAAAAATACCTACCGTCTGGAAATATACAGAACAGTTGAACTAGAAATAGCTTGTAAAGAATGCTGCTTATAGAGAGGTTGCTTATATAGAGCATTCACTGTATACCACCCCTGCCATAATACTTCCAACCTTTCATTACTTTCATGACCTTTGTTTGATGCATCCATAACAATGTAATTTTTAAAGACAATAACAAGTGTTTTAATTGTTCAATAAAACAAGTCATGCTGATTTATGGTGCCATTGAATTTTTTCGATAGTTTATATATATTTATTTTATACAATTAATATTAAATACAAAAAATATATCATAAATGGAAATACTTTTGAACATTTTAAAAATTTAAAATTAAAAAATAAGTCTTTTGAAACAGAATTTGAGGACAATATTTTGTAAATATGGCAAAACATAATCTGTTTGGAAAAGAATATTTTGGCCACAATGGAAGAGTTTAAAAAACAACAAAGAAACAGCATGGAAGGCATGAAAAGGAAATGAATGCAAGAGAACAAATGAAACCAACAATAAATCTGACTACGACTTAAATATGATTTTAAATATCAAAATTTATTTTTGAAATAAAAAATAGTAAAATATAGAATGTAAACTTTTAAAATAATGTAAAATAAATGTAATTTGGCAATATTTAATAAAGAATTTTTTTTTATCATCTCCTAACTAATTCATTACATAAAACATGTCTCTCCATCATAGATTGAATGCAAAAACAAATAAAAACTTTTTTTTCCTATAAAAAGGAAGAAGTGTTTTTTGTTTAAAATTGTTTAAATTTTTCACAAATGGTTTTTGTGAATTCAATATCGCATAAGGTAATTTGGGGTTGTCCATAAATTATGTCACGCCTAAGGATAGGGGTGGAAAGTTAGTAGTTTTTTGACAATTCATATGGAACTTGTTACTAAAGAGTTATGATGTAGTGACAAGGGAGGGGGTGAGGGATCAAAAATGTTCAAAAACTCTGTGATGTAATTTGTGGACGACCCATTTTGACGTAATGAATTTATGAACATAAATTATGTTCATGAAAATCTTATTGGTAACTGATAAAATATATCTATAAATTGTTTATAATCTTTATTTAAAATATTACTTTAAATACATATAAAAGAAAATAAGTAAATGTATTGTAATAAACAAACAAAAGATTATGTTAAGTATTAGATTGTTTTAAGAAATAAATTTTTAGGAAATATATTTTTTTAATACTGAATTTAGATTTCATCAGTAATTTTTGTTAAATTAATTCAAATGATTTTTAACTCGGTTTAAAATTAAATTTAATTATTTTCAAGATAAGAAAATGTTAAAGTTAAACAAAAAACATCCTGTCAAAGACAAAAAAAAACAAATAAAAGAAACAAATAATACAAAACCATTGTAAAACGTGTAAAGAAAACAACAAAAAGCGCAAAATATCTAACAATCATTGGTCAAGACAGAAGTCAGTTCTGCACTACTAGAAAAAGACATCAAAACTTCACAAACATTAGTTTTAGGGGTATCACTTAAAACCAGGGTTGGCATTAAAAAACCCGCGCAAAATAACCCGCCCAATAAAACCCGCCTAAAAAAACCTAATAAAACCCTGGAAAGTCTGGGTTTTATTGGGTTTTTTTAAAGATATTTAATAAGTTTATGAACTGTTATAACCAACTTTAACATTATAACTATAATATTATTAACTAAAATAATTATTAACTATTATTATTAACTAAATTATTATTAACTATTATAACCAACAATAACAGCTATCAGAGCAGGTTTATTATTATTTGAATCATTATTTGGAAATACATTATTACAATTTTTATTCAAATATTTTTATCAATTGAGATTTTTATTACTTTATGTTATTCACCTCCCAAGTTGAATTTAAATGAGTAGTAGTGACCAGAGAAGCCAACACAACAGTCGAGGAGGCTATCTTGTTGTGGTTACAATCCTCTCTCAACTCTTACGCGATAGTGGTGTTGTGGTAGAGCGCTCGCTTCATAAGTGAGAGGTTCCGAGTTTGATCCCCACCACAACCCTGGCAGTACCGCACTCAACTCCTTTCTCCGTGCAGCGGCCTTGTTCGTCAAGGTTCGTGTTTCGGAGTTATAGAGTTGAGAAAGGGTTATAGCCACAAATAAGTAGCCTCCTTGCCTGTAGTGGCCTTAAGCCTTGAGGAGGTGAATTGATTAAAAAAAAAAAAAAAAACTCTTTAATTTCCTAAACACGAATCTTTATAAACAAGGCCGCTGTGCAGAGGAACAAGTTTGTTCATTTGAATTTCAAGTTCAAAGTTTAATTGAAACTTCAGTTACTACCTCCCATTCTCTAGCCTTCTTTTTCCCATTTTCTCATTGACATTTTTAATTATATAGAATAATACTTTTAAATTTAAAATAAATCAATACATATAGATTAAGCGTGAAATTTTTTTTTCTATTACAGTTTGAAATTATATTTAAAAATCTTTTTCAAAATAATTTTAAAAATTCTTGTTATAAATAATTAAACAACAATATATAAAATATATTTTAAATAAAGTTAAAGTAGAAAATGAAACTAATTTTCAATACCATTAAACAAAAACACACAAAAAAATTTTACAGGGACAAAATAAAAATTAAACCTAAAAAAACCCAAATTTACCCAATAAAACCCAAAAAAATCCACTGGGCCGGGTTTTTTAAAAAAAACCCGAGTTTTTGCCAACATTGCTTAGAACCAATGTTCACCAGATTGATCAGAGTTGAATAAATTCTTAGTCTTTGCCATAAATGAAGAACCACCTAATGGTACCATGAGGCTCAGCCAGCCACAGGTGGCATACAATTTCCAGAAACTTTAGGCAACATTTTTAGCTTTCCAAATTAATTTTTTTTAACTTTTAAAAGACTTTTGATTTATATTTTAATATTTATTTCATCAGAAACAATATTAGACCAATAATGCTTTGGGACAATTGTGCATTCAGTGCCATGGTTTGAGTTGTATTTCCAAAAAAAAATACTAAGAATACTAAATAACAGATTGTGTACTAAGATATAGCAAATAGTAAGCATCTAGTATAAACTTTGTACAATAAACATGTTTTTAATAATTTCAAGCGAAAAGTTTTTTTAAGAGAAAAACACAATTATTTTGGCGCAATCCCTATTTATGTCTCCTTAAAAAAGAAATTATAAGTTTTACTTATTACATAAGATTTCTTACTTTATCTCTATAAAGAGCTGCAGCACGACTGTTGTATTTTTCTGTCAATGACATTCCATCTTTATAATCTGATTGACTTTGAAAGAACTCTTTAGCTTTAGCATTTCCTCCAACCTAAAACCAAAATAAACAAAACATTTTGAATAATCACATCACTCTTCAAAAAAGATAAGTATATTTTTCTTATTTATATAAGCTGTAAAGACAACTTATATAAATGAGAAAAAGGATTAAATAAGTTTCCTAGACATCATCATATTTTTCAATATTACAAAATTTAGTTTTATTATTTTGATTCAAAATCTTAGATTTATTGGTAAAGCTATAAGGAAAGCTGCTCATTTGAATTTTAAAATTTCTTTTTTAAAAAGTTTTCATTTATCTTATTATATACTTAATCTATAGCAAAACAAAAAAACAAAAAACAAACAAACAAACTAATAAACTATAAAACCAAACTAATCCCTAATCTCAACCCTAAACCTAAAACTAGATTAATTAAGGAAATCCCTATTTTTGTTACCAAAACCTAATGAATTATTATATATATATATTTTTTTTCATTTATTATAATAATGAAAAAATATAAACCAAAAACTAAAATTAAGTCTCAGCTAATTGAGAAAATCCTTAAAACGATAGATCAGATCACAGTTAATATTGATGCAAATGAGGGCATAAAGATAAATAGCTGTTTTTTAGAATAATATTGTTGTGGAAAAAAAATTGATGTAAAGACTGTTTTCCTCATTTATATTTTTTAAGGTATAAAGTAGCTATACCTTAGAAAATACAAATGATATTCAATTGCTTGTCACAAGGTAATTTCTGCAAGCATTAAAACTTTTTAATTCATTTTAAATATAAGTTTAAGAATACCTAGAACAACAAGATGATTCTTGAAGCCAACTTTTTCAAGAAAGTGTACTTATTTTTTTGACAGAAATATTACACACCAATGGACAAGACTGCCATTTTTATAGTTATAAAATTAATTAAAAATATAAATATTTAACTAAAGTATATATATCAAAAACTCTGTTAATAAATATTTATTACTTACTTTTTTTAAAAAAAATTTGTAATAATATAAGTCAAAATTTATTAAAAATACTTAAAATTAATAACAAATTTATTTCATAACATCAAGTTTAATAATCAAAATGAACAAATAAATTTTAAAAATTGCAAAAATATACTTGAAAATAGGTTTATGGGAACAGTTTTACCATAATTTAGCTTAAAGAAAAAGAATAGATGAAATTTTTTTTTTATATATAAAATTTGCAAGAAAAATAATTTCCAAGTTTAAAAAATCTTTATGTTAATACTTATAAAAACATTTAAAATACATTTAAACTAATACTTTTCAAACAGAAACAAATAAAATGTTTAAAAAACCAATTTAATATAAATGTTTCATATTTGAAACAAGTTATATGTTTTCATATAGTTTTTTAAACTAACCTTCATTTTCTCTAACTCAATATCTTTCCATTTGTCCATTGTGACTGATCTCACAAAACTAAAATGAAACAACTTACAAAATTCATTATTTTTAAAAATAACAACTATCAGTAAGAAAAGCACGGTGGTTTAAGTTTAAGCATTTGCGGACATTTATTATGCGCATGCGTTACTTTAAAAACAACAACAACATCGTAATTTTGATTTTTTTTTTTTGTTATAGTTTTTATTGTAATTTAATAAAAAAAGGTCATATCATTGCTTTGAAAATGTTTATACCAGATATAAATTCATAAACTAATAAAATATATGGCCAAGGAAAACACATTTAATTTGAAATACTTAAATTTGTTAATTTTTATGTAATAAAAAACGTGGGAAAGTCGGAAATTATTTTATGGTCATCCTAATTACTAAAACATAATAATTAAGCATTTATTAGAATTTTTATGCCTTGAAGCTGTATATATTTTAAAAGAAGGTTTCAACTTTATAATAAAAAAAAATCAGAGTCCGGTTACTTTTTTAAGTTTGAAAATTTTGTAAATCAAATCTTATATTTTAGCAATAAAAAAACATACAAAAATGACTGTCTCATGAAACAAAACTAAAAACATTATGCAGAATATGTGGAGAAAGTGTAGATAATAATAGTGTTCTTTTAACAAAACACATTGCTAGAATATAATTTTGTTTTTTTATCCGAATTGATTAAGACCACTCAAATATACATCCTCAAAAAATGTGTTATTGATGCTTTTTAATATTAAGAAATATTGAAAAAGGTTCAAACACTGAACTAAAATTAAGATCATGGCCTGAAAATTGCAATCTAACTGAATGTGTTTGCTTTAAATCCAATAAAGGAAGAAAAAAAAAGAAAAAGATAAGTGGAAGACCTTCGAGTATTAGTTATAAAGAAAATATTTGTACAAGACACAAAACAAATAACATACAATCTAAACTTTCACCTCAAACAAAACTTAATCTTTAACTGCAAGATATTAACTGCATCTTAAACCCTCATGTGCATCTTTGTGTTTGTACTATTTGCAATCACATGCATAAACCAATTATTATAAAAAACTGTCTTCATTCATTCTGCGCATCATGTCTATTACCAATTATCATTGGCAAACAAATAGCAAAAATAAAATGCCCTAAATGTTCCTTTTCAATTCCAATCGATGGTTTAATTTCATCAATGAATGTCATTGAAATGATAGAAAATTTACAAGAAGTATGCAAGCAAGGTTGTGGTAGATTGTTTAAAATCACACAACTGTCAGAACGAAAGAAACATCAAAAAACTTGTCAGAAAACTCAAATATCAAGTTCAACAACATTATCATTACCAACATCATCATCATCAACTTCACAAATAAACCTTTCAGATATATTTGCATTGGATTCAACAAGTATTATACCAAGAAACATTTTTAACTTTTCAAAAAAAACGAAAACTTACCAATCTTTAAAAGCATTATATTATCACAAAAAAAAGAAACTGGTTTTTGATTTTTGCTTAAAATGATTCACAAACTATTATATTTTCAAAAAAAAATCAAGGTTATCACTAAAAAATTTAAAACTTTAGAATATAGACTATAATGTAAGCACAGATTAAACTTCGCCTAAAAAATAGCTAAGTTTTAATTTAGTCCCACTTCTATCCTCTTTGTAAAATTATTTAAATGATAGCTTTGATGACACATACCATACCTAAAGTATTTTAATATCATTTCTTATAGGCAATTTAGAAATATCTACAAATAAATTTAATTTAAAGTTTATACAACTCTATTAGTAGTTTTCTGTTTACTTGCGAACATTATTGTTTACCAACATTTGAATAAAATAAAGCGCATGCGCATAACAAATGTCTATTACTAAACCACGTGAAAGCACAATTGGTAGTTTTAAAAAGAGACAATAAGATACACTTTTAAGCTGCTAATTAAATACAAATTTTTTTTGAACAAATATATAAGGGAAAAATCCTGCCTTATAATAATTTATACCTCATTAATTTACCACATTCATCACACTTTAATTACATTTATTAAATAGATTGATAAGCTTTAACTTATTTATGAAAACATTTTAAATAGCTTGTCATTTATAATCAATTTTGGTAATTTAAATACTTTTTAATCTTTATTGAGTTTTATATACATGGTTTGAGAGGTAATTAGCTTTAAATTACTTTTTTTTAAGTCCTATATTCATATCCTTATATTTTTATATATAATAATATTTTGCAGTAGTACTCCTTAATTCTTCTTTTTTTCTTAAAACTCCTTTTTTTTTTGATTTATAAAAAACATTATCCAAAAGTGGTTTAGAACTGTTTTAAACTTTATTAAATACTTTCAACAAATCAACAAACAATCCGTAAAATTAATTTCTTTTTAAATCCAATAATTATTTGGTCAGCTAGTTATGAGCATTAGTTACAGAGTCTAGGAATCCAGCTATTTACAAAATCTACATTATTACAAAATTTAGGAATCCAGGCAATTATGGAATCTATACTAGTTATGGTAAAACTCAAGCTCTGCAAAAAATTAAACTGTTTAAGGCAAAAAATTTAACTATTTTAATGAAGCAGTCATAAATTAATATAATCATAGGGGTATAATTAAAAAAAAAGAACTGTCTATGCTTATATAAATGAGGAAAATAATATTAATAAACATCAAAAATAAAAGTTTCCAACCCATTTTATCTCACTTTTTTTTTTAACTAAAACTTTAATATATCATAAGAAATTTATCTGATTCGTGGTGTTTTTCAATTTTCAAATGTAATAGAGGTTAGAAGTGTAACCAGAAATGTCTGAGCTATATGTCATGGAGCCTAACTCTTTGAAGCTATATGTCATGAAGCCTAACTCTCTGCAGAGCATTTCAGATCACCAGAACTATGTAGTTAAAATTTGTTATGTTATACTCTTAAATCTTTCACAATTGCATTAAGTTTTTTCCTGTTGAAGCAATATTGCATTTTCTTTCTGTATTTATATGTTTTTATAAAAGTACATTACTACACAAAATCTCAAGTTAAAAACTATAAAAATACTGTGCATAAATGAATACACTAATTAAGATAAAAAAAATTTAAATAAAAAAAATTAGTAAGTAAAAAAATTAATAAACATTATTATCTTTACCTTAGATGAACTCCTAAACCTCTATGTTTACCAGAGCAGTCTAAGCAGATCCATATACCATATGATACACTGACCCATTGTGGATTGTGACTATTACATTCAAAACAGGCCTAAAATGAATTCTAATGTAAAAATTTCAAAAATCTTTATAATTAATAATATAATAAAATATTTATAGTAGTTGTATAACAGTATAACAGTATAAGTATAACAGATAACAGTAGTTGATCCTGGTCATCATCTTAATGACACAATAAATATCTGATAATGTCATTTTTCAAAAATTAAATAGTATTATAAAAATAGAATAAATCATTAATCATGTTTTTGAATAAAACGTGATAAAACAATGCTACTAAAATGGTTTCAATTTTGTGCTGTGTAAAATGTTTTTTTTTTTCCTGAATATTTACAGAAAAGTTTTGGGCATACTAATATTTGATGACTTATATCTTTGCTAAATGATTGAAAATTTCAACACTTATCTGTGAGTATCAATTTTAAGTAGTCACTAAATACAACTTTTTTTGAAATTGTCTCCTGCCAACCCCTACATGTGTTCTATGTAATAAACTAACACTAAATCAAAAAAATTTTTGAATAAAAAAATGTTAGGGGTCGCTCAAGACCCTTAAACATCAAATGGATCCTTAATATTTAAAAAAAAAAATTCTTCAAAAAGTATATCATGTTGGGTCTCAAAAGAAGTGAAATTTTGTAAAAATTTCAAAAATAACTATATTAAACAATAAACTAAGATATATTAAACACTTAGTTTTTTTATTTTTGAAAACATCTGTTATGGTTAGATTGAATTTCTGTGTAACTTATACTGAAAATTTCCAGTACAAGTTACACTGAAAATTTTTCTTTTTCATAATTCCATTTGAATATTAGATGATTTGCTTACTCCTTGTACACCTAATTTTCAATATATCTTACTTCATTTAAGTATTGAACTTATTTAACAATGTTAATATTTGAAATTTTTGTTTTAATGTTAATATTAAAAAAGTTTTAATTATTAAACATTGCAAACAAAGTATAATACTTAAATAAAATAAGAAATATCCAAAACTAGGGGTACAACTAGGAACTCAACTAATAAGAATTTTAAAAATATATAAACTGGATAGGAATATTAAATAAAACTTATTTATATCAACAAAGATAAATAAAACTTAATTATATCAACTTTACTGACAGTCTTTCATTTAAAGAACATTATGTTTTGAATTGTCCAATGGATTAATGTGAAGCAAACTTTTTTTATAGGAACGTTTATCTAATAGTTGTTAAAAACATTAGTTCAAGCTTTACCCTTATAACAGGCCTTGTTAAGAATATATAAACTATCTTTTAACATATTTTTAATATGTGACCTTTATTCAGAAAATATTAATTCATTTAAAAAAAAAAAAATTTAAGTGAATATGAATTTTTTTGCTAAAGAAACTGACTACTACTACATAATTTTTTTTTGCATTAATAGACTTTAAATCAAATATGTGATGGTATTTTGGCAAAATGAAAATTATGCGTAAAATAAACAAAGAAACCAAAACTAACAAAATAGGAATTTAAAACAAATTTAAATAGGAAAAAAATTAATAATTTAAATAGTTTGTGTACTGTTTTTATTTTTGTTTCTTTAGGGTGGTTGTTTTTTCAGCAACAAAATTGGTTTAGGGAAAGCAAAAATTAAAAAATAAAAAAAAATAGTTTTATGTCAACATTAAAAAGAATGATTTTCCTATATTTTATTTGTTTTTTTAAATAGGAAAGCAAAAATATAAATTGCTATCTGTTTGTAAAATATTTTTGTTATAAATAATTTGTATATCTATTTTAAATTTTTTTAATTTAATATAAAATTTTAATTTACTTTAAAATAATTTGTATAATTTTAACATAACAAGTATATATTGTTATAATTTGTAACAAGTATATATTGTTTCATATACATTCACATGTTGCAGGCTTTGACAGGAATGGCATGCGATCGCACACTGTAACTGATCACGCTTATAATTTTTTTATATCAGTTTTAATGCTTTAACAATTTAAATGCTAAAAAAAATTACGTTATGAATAACTTTTAATGGTTAAATTTTTTTAAAGATTTTATTTTATGCATAATTTTCATTTAAGGCATAAAATAAAATCTTTAAAATAAAAAATAAAATAAAAAATTATTTATAGTGAATGTTATAAATAAACGCATTTTGAGTAAATTAACAAATAATGTTATATTTAAAGTAAGCATGTACTTTTTATGATAAATTTAAACATTTAAAACTATTTTTTTTACTAAAAATCTTTTGAAAGATAATTTTTCAAGTTATTTTTAATTATGAATAAGTTAAATCTTCTGTTGCAATGGAATAATTAAATTGCTTTATTTTTTTGTTTTTATTTTTACTGAGATGTTTAAAACTTTTTTTTTTTAAACTTTAACTCATCAGAGCATAAAATGATTAAAAATTACTATTTTAAATAGACTAAAGTATTTTTTTAAACAATTCTTAAAAAAAAAAAAATGTTTATACAATTTAAAAATAATATATATAACACTTTTTAATAATTTAAATAAAAATTGTTCATTTATTAAACAATAATTAGAAGTTACTTGTAAATGCGCTATGCGTAAATTTAATACAACGCTTCAAAAGATAAGTCTTAAATTAATTTATTTTAAGTGCAATTAAAAATGTAACAAAAAGTAATTTTTAGTTTTGAGTTTCTTGAGTTTTACTTTAGTGCTTATATATTTTCTTTTTTGTAAGAAATTGTTTTCTTTTTTCATTATTATTTTTTAATCTTCCTCCAGTTTCTTTTTTCAGTGCATTTCTAAAATGTTTAAAAATCATCTAAACATCTAAACAGTCATGGTCAAGTTGTTAAAAAATAAAACCATTTGAATGGTCAGCAATAACACTCGATCACATGCCATTCCTGCCCAAGTCTGATGTTGGCTTGTTCATCTATGTGTATATAAGTATCTACCTCATAGGCTTTACTTTTACATCACTTTTTTAATTATATAACTATATTTATTTAATACATAGTAAACATACGTTTTGCTTATTTGGTATGCTGTTTACTTCTTACACGGAATGTCTGAGGTTCAAATCCTACCTCTTTCCAATTTATAATTGTTTTTCTTTTAAATCCCACTGCTCATGTATTTGTTTTGTAACCTTTAATTTTTGTTTTTTTTTTGAATATAAATAATCTTTCAGTTGTATAAGCATTTCTGAAAAGCGTGTGCGATGGAACACTTTGTTTATCCACGCTTAAAGTAATTTTTTTAGGCAACTTGACCATATTTTTATATACTAAACGTTTTAAGAATTTGCGGCAAAATAAAGCTATAAGAAACTAGAGAGAATAAAACAGCATAATAAGAGAAGAAACAAAGACTATACGAAATAGAAAATCTAAATAAAATAAGCTAAAAATTTGAATATTAAAAAAATAAAAATGTTTTTAAAAAGAATAATATACCTAAATATTTTACTGTTTTTGTTTTTTTACTTTTAGGGTGTTTGTTAATTCTCACTACCAGAATTGATATAAGTTTTTTGATATACAAATTTTTGATATACAGACTTTTTTCAGTCAATATATTAAGAAAATACTTTATCATTTGCGCTAGAAACATGGACTTTTTAAATTTGTTTTCCAAATGTTTTTGCTAGAAAACTTTGCTGTTTTTATCAATGTACAGGAAAGCGAGAAACTAATAGCTATTTATTTGTAAAAAAAAACTCTTTTTTTTAACAAGTTTTTTATGTAAAAGAATAAAAAGCCATTAGCACAAATGTTTAAATATAAAATATTTGGTTGTTTTCATTACCTTATTGAAATAGTCTGCACTTTTGTTGGATTATCCAAATTGTGCATCTAAACCTGATAGTTTATTTCCTGATGAACTATTGTTATTGACGATGCTCCTAAAAGTTTGTGGGCTAGTGGATTATTAATTTCTTGAACTTTTTTAACGAAATTTTTAGGATCCTATTTAAAACTTTTTTTAAGTTTTAAAATACATTTTTTCAAACACAACAATTGTTATGTTCATTATCTCTAGTAACTCATATTAACATTGGAAATTTGGAAATATAGAAACATAATTTGGCAATAATAGAAACAATTTCAGACATGAATCAAATCAGGTAAATACATTTATTAAAGAAATCATGTTATTGTTTTATTCAAATTATTCAGTCATTACAAAATTTATCAAGCAAATAATATATTTTACAAATAAATAACAACTTATTTTCTTATTTCCTATTACATAAGTATTGAGAAAAAACATCAACTGTAGCAAAAACATGTCAAAATGAATCAAACATAAGAAAAGATGTCAAAATGAATCAAACATAAGAAAAAAAAAATGCCGTGTACACATTTTTCACACAGCTTAATTGCTTCCCGGTGGGAAGTCGGGTAGCGAATAGCTAGCTATAATCGTTACGATAAAGACAGCGATTTGGCTACGAGGACAGCTAGCTTAACAAGCTGAAGATCCACTGGCTATTGTACCTAGCGTCATATCGTAATAAAACCGTTGTCTAAAAATTTTTGATATGTAGCTATCAACCAGGTATAGATTTGTAGATATTTTGTAGCTAGCTACAAAGCTACGATATGTAGCTAGCAACATATTGCTACAAAATCGCAATGTTTAAAGTTCAATTATTTTCATAGTTATAATAGACTCAACACTAAAAATTGAATTTTTAAAGATGTTAAAGACATTTGCAAAAAATAAAATAAGAAAAAAAAAAATCGCTAGAAAATCGCTATAAAGCTAGCTAGTCGCTAGCTAGTCGCTAGCTCATTTCCCACCGGGTTTATATTATCTTTCTATTTCTGTACATTTTTTATCTCCAATCTTTTAGCACTTTGTAATTTTGGATTCAAAATAACAAAATAATGAAAACTTATGATAAAACAAAATTGATTATCTTTTTTTATTATAAAATTATATTTATTTGTTCATAAGTATGCACACATTTAGCTTATTTGGATGAGGCATTTACAGGCATTTTTATGAGATTTTGTTGCGTAATGGAAAAGCGAAATGCGAATAAATGTAACT